GACAAAAATCTTCTTTAGCAATCATATATATCTGACATTTATATATATATGAAATATAATATACATATATATCTGGTCCGAGTTTTAAACCTGTTCACTTATCACATTTAATATAAAAATACTTTGTAAAAAAAAGTAAACAATTTTGTAAAAAAAACAATAAAATGATTAATCAAATATGTACTCATGGGGCTGGGGTTGTGGCTCAGCAGTACAGTGCTCAGTGCTCGCCTAGCATGTGTGAGGCCCTGGGTTTGATCCTCAGTATCACATAAAAATAAATAAAAAAATAAAGGTATATAAAAAATATGTACTCCCAAGAGAAATGTCATGTAGCAATGGGAGAGGGTAAACGTATGAAAATAATATTTCAACAAGAATACTATAGTTCAAAAGGAATGTATTCTTATGGGACTCCGTGGGCAGGGAGAAGAAAAGAAAAGTGATTGACTTTAAAGAGAGAGGTTTAAAAGAGAGCATGAGTGATGGGGTAACAAGATGTATCTATGATGGAGGATATTGCAGGTGAGCAGTAGAAGAGAACTTGGGAAGGGTGCACTCTGATCACACCAAGGATGCCCATGAGGTCCAGCATAAAGACAGAATGATGGTTTCTAAATCTGTGCACCACATAGTAGAAATGGACAACAGAGCGAATGGCGTGCATGTCACGGCACAAGTATAGAAGCAGTTGGACCTGCATGGAGACTAAGGAAACTGATGGGCAAGGTACAGACCCAGAAGACCAGAATATGGGTAAGAATGCATCAAAGTATGGAAGCCATTTTTGGGGAATGGGAAGGAAGTAAGTTCCAATACATGTATTAATGTGGAGATTCAGAGAGAAGAGGAAAAGACAACTTGAAATGTTCAATCTGAACTTCAGTATTAGAAAAGAGCAAAGATAGAGTAGGAAGGAAGCGGAGGATTGTGGTCAAGATGAGGACTATTTTTTCTTTAACCTGTTAAATACTGATACTGGCAAACTAAGTAAGTAACCAACAGGCCATGGATGGAAAAGCAGATCTGGATTTAAGAGAAGGACAGGCATAGAGACTATCGAGGCGTATAAACACCAATGGTGTCTGAAGTCACAGTGCAAAGTTACAAGGGAATTCTTCGGCTCCACTGTGGTTAGGTTTAACAATAAAAAGTGAGAGGAATGTTATGTATTGCTTCCACTAAAAATTATCTCTCAGAGCTTGCTGCCTATTGACTCTCTTTTTCCCTCCACCATAGAATTGGCCATATCCAGATAGTGGCTGCTTCAAAAACCTGAATCTGGTGTTAAAATTCACATGGAAAGAGGACACACAGCTCATATCTAATGTGAGTAATAAATAATTAGTTGTTGCAAAACTACTTGGATTTGGAGACTGTTTATTACTACCAAATAACCCAGTCCAATCTGACATAAACCATGGGAATAAATGAGAATCCTCAAATTCAAAAGTAAAGAAAATTCAAGTGACAGAATCACACAGAACTTAGGTAATTCTGAATTTGGCATTTTATAAAAGAGAAAACCATTTAATTACATTTGCAAAGGTACTTTGACTATAATGCCTTCATTTCTGTCTTTACTCTTTCTGTATCAAAAAAATATGCATTAAAAAAAACATGCTGAATCAGATAGTAAGTCTGGCTACTTTTGGAAAATGCTTCCTATATATAATATTCAGTAAGAACAGTATTCCCTTTTACATGCAAACTATTGAGTATTCAATGTCTTTTTAAATATTACATTTGCCTATGCATTTTTTTTGTGTGTGTGAATTCACCAATCTAACACTTTTCATTAGATCACAAGAATGTGTAACATTAGAGAGTTTCTTCTAGCCTAGACATAGACAAATTAGGCTTTCTATGAACAATTAGTGGTTGATGCCTGAAAAGTACCATATGTTCACAATTCTAGCATGCAGACTGAGATAAGTAATAAAAAAGAACGAAAACAAGATCGTAAACTTTCGCTAGCCCCATAGGTCATTTAGACATATTTATGACTCCAAGGAAGCAATCGAGAATCCCGTATATCACCAAGCAATACACAATTTAGGAATTTAAGAGAAAATATCTGTCAAAATTCTCTTTTACCAAGTAAGTTTGTAACCAAAACTTGTATTTTGTGAATATCCTAATCTTTATAGTTTAAAGAAAATCCCCAAATCAATTTTCTAATTCAAGTCCAGTCCACTTTTTATCCTTTTTACCATGTTTATCCAAACTCTGAGGGTTCTCATACACCAATGCTTTCCAAGCTTAGTGTTTTTCATTTCATTTTTTTCACTCATATAATTGGAAGAGGTTTTTTTTCTTTCATATAATTGGATTACTTTATTGAGATGATTTGGTGAAATCAATAAAATGTGATTTAACGTCTGTCTATCATATGTATGGATAAGTTCCTAGATGACAGAACATCCTTGTGCATTACTCAGAAGAGTTATACTTTTGTGTTACTAACAAATGCACAATCTTCGATTCTAGAGCCTCATCTCCCTCTCCTTCTGCCAAGTATTTAACTGTCCTAGAAAACTAGTTCAGAGATTCATTTTGTTTCCAGGTTTGGACTCTTAATAAACATGGGGAATAAGCAGTAATAAAAAGGACAAGTTATTATTTTAAGAAAAATTCAAATTTGTCAGCTCAGGTACCCCTGGTTTATAATGCAATCAAACTGGATAAGGGGGCTATGAAATGGGTGGAGTTTTCTTGGACTCCATAGTTCTCCTAGAGAGTTTCATGGAAATTCAGTTTTACAGTTACAATTAGGCTTAAAACATCTGTGAATGTGCTAGAATCTCTACTGTCTCATCCTGTATGATTTTTTTTCGACCTAAGTATCTGTCCCTATAGGTTAGTTCTAATGCCCAATACTTTCTTCCTTTGGCTTTCAGATGTTTGTGATAACTTTACACATTTCCGATTAGCCCTCCTGTCCTTCTGGAATTTTCTCTGCCTCTGGACTGGAAGGGTGTTTCATGATTTCAATACCCATTCCACTGCTAGGTAAGTTATGGCATGTTTGTTTTATGTCGATTCTCTTCCATAGCTTATTACTATTCAACTTCTAGAAGGACAGAGCCTTTGTGACTACCACCTTCCATGTTCCAGTCTTTACATTAAGAGCTGGAAGTACACGTCACAATTCCTTTCAGTAACAGAGAAAACATGCATTGGGGGGAAGGGACCTTCCTGACCCAAGTCAGCAGTTCAACCCACCATGCAAACATATTTTTTAATGATGTGCATGTTTAACATAGTAAGGATTTCTGCATTTTTAAAAGAGGAGTCAAATAGCCCAAATAGCCATTACTGGTTAAAAAAACAATAGGTCTAGGAGTACAAAAATTCAGGAACAAGCAAAGATGATACTCTGAGCCTGGAGAGCAGGCTCCTCTTTATTCTGCCTTCTCACTAAGGTGTTCACATTAGAAAGCTATCTGAAGTTCTCTAGGGCAAGAGTGGCTTTGGGGATCCCCATCTGTGCCCCAATATCTGGGAACAGAAATTAAACTCAACTACTTCATTACCACTCATTCCCCTATAGTCACCAAAATAATGCAGCAAGTCTTCAATTATGAAACAAAAAAAAACCTCATGCTTTTCCTATAACTTTTCACATCTAAGTTAATAAAATGGCATAATCCGGCTCTTGTTCTGGATACCAGAAATGAATCTGACAAGCACTTCCCCATATCCCCTTTAGAGTGTGGTGGCACAAATTTGGATACATCAGAGAATCAAAGGGCTCCAAGAAGGTTCATTCACTTCAAGAGACAGTTTACAGAAGGATCTTCAACACATCAGACCAGGTATCAGAGCACAGAGATGACAGGAGCATCCAGATTCAGGGAGTGCACAGGGATCTCAAAAGGAGGGGGCATCATGCATCCTCTGCCAGTACTACCTGGGAAAAACACATGCAACATGCCAAGGGAGCTCAGGGAGAGTAGCAGTATCCCGTTTAGAATCAAATAGGCATCAAGCATCACCTCAGATCCTTGGAGGGGCTTATATGTGTCCAGTGGACATTCCAGGTGTGATGAAGTTGTTTTAATTTGTTCTATTTGTTTACTACTCAGCATTCTACATTTGCCCCAGTCATGGCAAAAGATTCTCTTCTAGTTTAAGACATTCCCGTCAGTGAGGAGATGAACATTTCCTGTTCTTCACCATTGCCCTCTCCATTGTATAAAATGGAAAGCAACCAATTTCTACTAGTTCTTGTGTTACAGACAGTAATTTATTAAAGGGACATCCATGCATCGTACAGGACTTCCTTTTATATAAAATTGGAGGACCAGCAGCCTTATTTTTTAAAATGCCAGCTTAGAGAAAGCCCCCTGGCTTTCCCTGCTATGTGTGAATAAACTGGTCCTTTAGAGGAGCAATCCCAAGGGGCCATTCAGAGGCCATCATTTCACCACGAAGACTCTGTTAAAAAGAGTAATTGGTATCAATAACACTTACCTGTATATGCAGAGGGAAAGTTACCCAGCCATAACGAGCCCAGAATCACACAGCCACTAGTTAAAACAATGCAATGTTTGGAATTTATGAGAATAAAGCCTGTCAGTAATAATGCTCTTAATCGGGCCTTCTCGATTCATTTGGCATACTCTGCTGTGTACTCACGGTTAAATCAAATCTGCCGTGTGGAAATAAGCTAAGGGATTGTGTGCAAGAGGCGAAGGATACACTGAAAAGGTTCACTTCATAAAAAAGGAATATTGTGGACATGGCTTCCACATGGCCTTTGTGACTACTGTGCTCCTCTAAAAGCCACAGGACCCTTTCACCACGCAAAATGTGGACTATAACTAAGGATACTGGAAAAATGAGAGGAAACAGTTACCATTGTACAGAAAGATGGTTCAAGCGTGAATCAATGTGGCAGGCACATCATTAAACAGACATGGGGTTAGACAAGGGAGGGAACCCCCAAACAATGACAACGACAACGACGACAACAACAACAAAGATCATCGCTTAACCTGTTTTGTCAGAGCTGGTATTGATGGTATTGGTAGTGATGGTGGTGAAGGTAGTCTTTGCGCTGTCCTTGGCAGTTACAGATTTCTGCTTATTTTTCATGGCTTCCAGTGCTTTGAGCTTCTTGGCATGTTTCGTGCCTTTGTAGTGGGCCGCAGCCTGGCTCTACAAAGGAGAACAAAATGAACCATGCAATCAGGCTCATTTCTAAACTGGCATTCTCTGTATTACTGCAAATACAGACTCCCTTTCAATAACAGGTACCATGATGGCGGTGGCCAAGCAGTGGGATTCTATTTAGAATGATGCTAGAAAGCAATGGAAATCAAGTTCTAAAACCGTAGGACAGAAACAAGAAATATTTTCTGGTTTGTCTTAAGAGAAATGCAGCTAAATATTATCACATCCATGACATTTTTTGGTGGAGCAAGTGAAAAAAAAAATTTAAGAATTTACACCTGGGTTGCTTTTTGTTCTGCCACTGAAGAGTCTGGGCTCCCAAAGATTAACAAGGGGCCCAGAAAAAGAGTGGCTCTCATCTCCTTGGCTCAGGAAATCTGTTTTCTTTTTCTACCATGTGTCTTATTAATATAGTCTCCAACGGGTGTCTGCCAGGAAAATTCAAACATAACAAGGGAAGTGGGCACCCTGGAGACTGAGGTTGAAGCTTGAGAATGCAAAAGTGAATGCAATGCCTAGGTACAGCTGGGGTCACATGGAAGCTGGGCAGTTTTATGATTCCATCTTTCTCTTTGCTACCAACGAGGGATAGCCTGAGAAATTCAAGATAGTGTCACTCTTTCAACACATGGATCTTTCATGCCACAGTCCATTGTCAGAAGTCTCCAAGGTATTCCAGCTTCCTAAAGGGGCTAATGCAATACTTTTGCCTATGCCTGTAGAGATTTTTTTTTAAAAAAAAAAAAAAAAACAGGGATATATGTTGCCCATGTTTATATTTCTTAGCACTATTTTATTTGGGGGTGGGTTTACTAAAGAGATGTGATAATTGCAATATAAAATCATCTTTAAAAAATATATAGATATTAATATTGATTTAAAAGAAAAAGGACTTTGGGCTGAAGGGAGGTGGAGAAGAGGAGGTTTGTGAGGGTGGGCAGGGAGATACTTAGATCAGGTTTTTCAGGTCAAAATCTTTACAAAAATTCATCTCCCCCCCCAAAAAAAAATCTCAGTGGCAGACTATTTCTATTAGATCAGACATTACTTCCCATGCTTATTTAAACTAAATGTTCCATTTTGCAGCAATAATAATAATAATAATAATAATAATAATATTCACATTCTTCTCTTCACTCCACCACCTGCAATGGGCAGGGTGCTGCAGTTTAGTGTCTTTTGGTAAATAAATAAATAGAGTGCACCTTCATTTGCATCATTCCAACAAGATATCTCACAGGACGAGGTACCCTTATTGAAAGAACACTGGACAAGGAAATTATATATTAGAAACAGTTTGAACAGAGAGCACACTCATGCATCAGTTACAAGTTTTCCAACAACACAGAACACCAAAAAAGGACATAGTGTGAACCAAAATAGAAGTTAAGACATGCTGTAGTTAATTAAGAAACCAGTGATAAGTTTAGGTTGGTTTGATTCTAAGTGGGGAAAGTCACTGTGATAGATAGGTTTTTGTGTCTTTTATCCTGCTCAGTTTTCCTTTTTATAAACCAAATCTTTTGGGAGCTATTTGCTATGGTCTAGATAGTTGGTCATCTTTCCTGGCTATAGAGCTTCCCTTAAAACAAAGCTCCTCTCTTCTCTATGCTGGTACCCAGGGACCTGGGGACAGAAGTAAATGTTTTTATAATGTATATTAAAAGATTGGTTATCAAATACTAGCGCTACCTCCACTTATACATCCAAAATATAAATTTTAAAGGTTTCCTAGAAAATCTACACTCAGTTTTATTTACTATTAGACAAGACCATTTTAACATACCAGAGGCCAAGTGAATTTCACTGTTGTTGAAACTAAACTTACTCCAATAGAACTCCCAGAATGAACAAAAAGAAGCAAATTCCACAAAGAAGCCAAAACCCCATTCTGCACAAGTACAGACAGAACAGGTCCCTCCAGCAAGGAAGTCGTGGTGAGGAGCAGGTGACAAAATGACCCGTAGCTGGTAGGTTCACAATGGAGACACCCAATATTTTGAAATACAAAATAAAACAAACTGAATACTCACATCCACCTGGTCATCAAATGATAGTCTCAAAGTATGCTGATGACTAGTTTAATCACACAATATCTGATTTTTTAAAAAGGTGATTGCTCCTCCAAATTTGGGGGGGGGGGATGTCAAGTGACAGAAAGGTTCAAAGTGCTATCAAGAGACCAGGGCATGTAGAATACAGGGGAGATGAAGTGTAGTGGGGTGATGGCAGCAGAGGAGACCTATGTGATTGTGATTGTGTGGGGGCTGGTGTTGCGGGTAAAGGTGGCATCCAAATTTGAAACCTGATGTAGGCAGAGAACCAATTTCTCCATTGATTTTTATTTGATGACTTTAGAATGTGAGGGTTGTTCTTAAGTTTCCCTAGTCCAAATGCTTCTAATGTATATATATTGAACCCACAGCTCACAGGTTCACCTTGATTCAGGTATGTTGTATAAAGGTGTGCTCCTGTGTCACGGCAGAAAACCCAGGCAGTTCTCTTTAGAATGGATAGATTATTCAGTGATATCTAATCTTTCTCTAACTCCAGACAAAGTTGACACCTAAATAGGAACTCTGCAGAGAGATTTTTAAAAAGGAGCAGTTTTCCAGAGATGTCTATTTGGGCCTCTTCTGCCTCATCTTTAGGCATATAGGTACAGAATGGTCATAACTTCCATAAGCATACTATGTTGTGCCTGAAATTGTTTCTGAGTATTTAGTAGTCAGTCTCTGAATCGTCATTTGCAGAAACCTGGGAACCATCCAGACACAGCAAATGATCATTTTTCACAGGAATGACTACTTGGTTAAATAAGCAAGCACGCTAATATTATATTGCATCTCACATAGATGTGATCCAAACAGTAAAATGTAGGCTTTAACCACTGACTTTGGAGGAATAAATGGGATAGCAATGCATAAATATCACTATACTAATCTTAAAATAGCATATGGCACCATGAAATCTAACTAGTCATCCCAAAGGCAAGTGCTGATTCTAGAGACAGGCATACATATTCCTATAGAATAGAATGATGCCATTTTAGATGTCATTGCCATGTCCTAACTATCAATAGCCAGTCAGACTTTCCAGTCTTCAAATTTTAACCTCCATATTTCAAAATGGCACTTTGCTTATACACAACTAAAATTTTTAAGTAGATAAATCCACAAATGGTTAACAGTTGAGAGAGAGGTTCTGTCATTTTGAAACACACACAAATTTATATTTGTACCTTTACATATTTATATGTCTACATGTGTGCAATACATATTACTCAAGAAAAGTATCAAGTTAATTTCCTTAAGAAAAAGTCCAAAAAAGGCAGTCAAAAATAGCCCAGAATTACATGTAATTGGGGAACTTCTATCCAAGAGGGGAGAACTCAAAACAGCAAATTAACCTTGGAAACCTCCTTAAAATTCCAGAACGAAAGTGGAAATGATTGCCAACTCCTTGTGATTTTTCTTTCCTGGTTTTACCTTTTCTCTCCAAGGTAATTATTGTTGCAGCATGAACTCTGACACCATTACTTTTACTTCTAAATTGAGTGCTTTGCAATGATCCAGTCTTTAAGGGTTGAAGGAAACACAGCTCTATAATAATTCTCTATAATAGTAAGTAAAAACTAAGCCTGTGGGCCGGGGTTTGGCTCAATGGTAGAGGCACATGTATGAGGCACTGGGTTCAATTCTTAGAATTACATATAAATAAATTAATAAAATAGAGGTACATCAACAACTATAAGAATATATTAAAAACAAAAAACAGCAACTAAGCCCTGTGTCATAACTTCCAAAACTTCATTATTTAGAAATATCTAAATTCACTGTTTTATTTTCATTAAACTGATTTGGTGTTAGCAATGCCTAGGTACATTCTTTTTGCCCCTCTCTCTTTAGTCTAGGGAAGCCACTGGACAGCCAACAAACAAAAAAAATCTCTCTGGTAAGCTAGCTAAGAGCACTTTTCCTGTTACTATATTTACCAAAATATTTGAAGAAGAAATTTAAAGGTAGAATAATTTCATTGTTCTTGTGGCATAGATATTTTTATTACTTAATAATATGTCCCATGTAGAACATTTAATAATTTCTTATCTTGTGATTGTATGGTTAAATTTAAGTAGCAGAGTACATTAAGAATAAAATGAAAATTGACTCGCATTGTGTCCCAATGTAAAAAAAAAAAAAACATGATTCAATTAAGAGTATTCTTTGTGAGCGCCAGTGATTGATGCTTTACTTTGAATGTTTTTCTGTCTTCTGTGCTCTTCAATACAGGAATGAACAGTAGCAGCCATGGGAACAGAAAAAAAAAAAAAGATAATACTCCCAAAGTAGAGTGATTTTCCTACACCACTGGGAGGAAAACATCTAAACATAGAGAAAAGGGAGAGGCATGTCACATTTTCTCAGATACATTAAGTTAAGTCTAATTTTTATAAGCAAAGAAGATACTTTTTTTTCCCCCACTAAGTACTAATACAGTTAGGAGAACTAATCTAGATGGATTCACTTATCTTTTCAAAGCTTCACAAGTCGTCTACAAACTTCGTGATCTCCAAACATAAAGTATTTAATGTTTTCAAGTATCAAATGTGAATAATAAAATAGTGGGTGCTTACTGGAATTGAGAAAAGCATAATTTGAGAGTTTCTGCCTGGTTCCTGTCGTGGAAGCAACCACTGCTTTTGTATAGGTGGAACCTAAACAGCTGCCTCCTTGAATGCTAATGATGGAGCCCTGTTTGGGGGGGGGGGCATGAAACAACAGTGGGATTTGGAAACTGGCACACAAGGTTTCATCCAGCCAAAAAGAATGTAGACTCTGACTAAATTTGAGCAGTTCTTTTTTTTTTTTTTTGGATGGATGTAAACCAGAGACCTTGAATGAGTTTTAACCCTAGTGATGTAACTGCAAACATTTCAGGTTTGTACAGAACAAAGCAAAGTCAGGAAAACCACTCTAACTACTCAA